ATAAACTTATAAAGTCTTGCTTCACATTTTGAATGAAGGTTAATAAATAAAATGAAGGAAAAGTTCAAAAGTTTGCTTCCTTCTTGTCCCCGGCCACCTGGATTCAGACCCTCATTTTGACAATTTTGATAATTTCAAATTCCTCCAAAACTATCAACAGCTATGATTTTTTTAAAGTTCGTTCATAAGAGAACTATACTCATTATTAAAGAAAAAACAACGGTTTTTAAAAATAAAATTTTTGATCAAAAATCACCTGGAGGGACATCAAAATATAGAGAAGCAACCATTTTGGGTTTAATAAAATTAATAAATATATTAAAAATATATAAATATATAATTAATAAAAAATGCTTATTTTCATAAATTGAACAGAAGTAGTTTGAATTTGAGTATAATTTGAACTGGAATAACCCGGTATATTCCTACGTCTAAGAATTAACCCATCTTCTAGTTTTAAGATTTCAACCTCTCATAATCATTACGGGTTTGTAAAAGGTTTCGTTAACATTGTTTGAGTAATAAAGTGACAAATGTGTGATATGCAGCAAATGTTGAAAACAAGTTTGCATTTTACTGTAAGTTTATTTTGTATTAAGTTATCAATATTTTGTATTTGTCAATGGACCTTTTAGCAAATGAAGTTGATATTTTTTTGAACGCGTTTTTTCGTGCTGTTGGTATGCTCTTGTTATTATTAAATGTGAGCTTTTAATACGTACAAATAAAAGGTTATTTTATTTAAAATTTAAAACCCCATTAAAACATGAAATGGTTTTATTGTTTTTATATGGATTTTCAATTTTTAACGTTTTTTTAAACTGTCGTTTTTTGGGGGGACTGTGGAAAATGAGGCATTCCTGGAAATTCTTTTTTAACTTGCATCATGAGTAATACGTCTCCCTAAAGATTACCATAGGTAATACGAGTGCTTTGGAAATTGTCGATAAATTCCCGACTCCCCAAGCCAGGGGGGGGATTTATCTGAGAATTTCCAAAGCACGGTTGGTATTTAATAGGACTATTCCACGAGTGAAATTATGTCCAACAGAGTTCCAAAATGTGCCAAATATTGGAAATTACCGAAAGCGTATGTTAAAAAATCAGATGTTATAGTACATACGCTGTTTGTAGGACATCGACATAGCGATCGATGTGTAACGCATCCTAAGAAAGACGAGTCACAGTTTATGATTGGCCAGTAGGTAGATGCGCTAAGAAAAATCGGATAGAAAAAGCGATAAATGTTTTGAGTTACAACGCCTGATTGGGACATTTTGTATGTATAGGTAAACACTATTGGTTTTTATTTCCCGAATGGAATAATCTACGTAACTATAAGCCGATTAAAGCAGAATGGGACAACTTAACGGCGAGTGGCCCACTGCAACGGCGCTTTGCCCGCTGACAGATTATTGACGAAGTGTCGGGGATTCGAAGCCTTTGGTGGGAAAAAATCGAGCTTGCCGTCGATCGGCGAGATGTACGCTCTGCGGGTCGCTGCACGACGTTTCCGTCTAGCTGCAGCAGCAGCAGCAGCGGCGGCGGGGTGGTCCAGCGAAGCGGATGCAGTGCGGCGCTGCGCGCGAGCAAGTGCGCGGCGGCGGGACGGGGCAGGGCGGGGTGGAGCGAGGCGCGGAGCGGAGCCCGTGGCGTTTGCCTCCTGAAACCGAATCCGCCTCCCCGCGCTGGAAACTCGAGCCTGCGTGGGAACCCAGACCCCTCGCAACCTTGAACTCGCACTTCGCGACGTTCGCCCGCCCGCCCGCTCGCTCGCTCGCCGGCCCACCTCGCCACCGCCATCTCCCGCGTTGGGAAACCCATTCTTTCTCACCGGGACGGGTGGAGGGTTTGGCGGTACGAAACAGAACGGAAAGACTTGTTTATCCTGGCGATTGTGATGCGTAGATCCAAATACAACAGGGGGTGGTAAAAGGGCGGGCGCATACACCTTCCACCGCAACGACACGGGTTCCAACCACGAGGCATGAACAATTTACGGTGGATGAAGTGAGCTTTCGGGAGGGTTTCTAGTTATTTTCCCCACCATTGTTCATGTCATTCACCTCATCATTATTGTGGACTGCTCTTCTAGAACCAAATACGTCGTCAGTCATTTGATTAAAATGTCTGGCAGATATGAACGTGGAAAATTTTGGAGTAAACTCCGGTGGGTAGAATCCTGTAATGATAGTTAAAACCCCCCTTGAAACGAACACCGAAAGGAAACAATATTGAGAATAATGTTCCAAAACTTGTACTTGTTTGGTGTTTGAATTTGAGCATATTAAAAAGAACATTTGACATTTTTAAGAACTCCTTTGGCGGAAGACTGACGCACCATGCTTGCGTGTGAGCCATTGCTCCATTGCTAGGAGATGAATCATTTTCATTGTATCCTGGGTTATCCGGCCGTGTCTAGCAGCTCTAATTGCGCACGGGTTCACGTTTTTCCCTACTCAGTTTGACGACGGCATGTGTTCTGAAGCATTATTAGGTAAAATGATATTTAGCCTATTCAGTGTGTACTCAGTGTGTACTCAGTGTGTACTCAGAGTTCAGTAGTGACTTCTGAAAATCAACGGTTATCCACCCAATTGGAAGTTTCAGTACTAAGAATATGTCATGATTGGGTAACCGTTACCAAACTGATTTGTTAGAAGTCACTCTAAGTGGTAGTATAAAGTAAGATGTATTACAGAAACTTGTGACGGTGAAGTGTGCAGATACTATTTCTTGCCGTTCCATTATTAAATGTAGGACCGCGAGAACCCCAGCCGCCGCATAGCCATGATTCAGTTTACAAGAGCAAATATGATCTAGTAGAGAAGACTTCATTCTGAAATTTTTGTTTTAATTCGGATTTGTCAAGGTTATTCTAAATGTTAGAACTTTATTTTCATAGATGAAAAAATAAATTACAATCGTAAGGAAGCATGTTCGTGTCACTCTCAATACTCAACACTTTATTACATCCATTATGGTTGAAAGAGACGTATTGAATTATTGTTCTAGAAAAACAATTTTATGAAATTGTATCTCGCATGATTTTTCGTTTTTATATGTTGACAATACTTACATAGGTTAGGTTGACCGGCTCCCGCAATTTGCGTTTTGCGGTGAGTGTCAGTACGTATTGGTGACATAGAAAGTAATTATCTTCAAATGGTTTGTGATGTGTGGGATTCACAATTTTAAGTTACCTTGGTTGTCTATCGTACTCGAAGAGAAACTATGGTGACACCATGGTATAGCATAGCTTCTTGGTCGTGTGCCATGTCTTCCGGTTGCGATGCATTTCTGAGCAGTTTTTTATTAATTATTCCTCAAAATGCCCGTTCAGGTATATTGCATTTAATATCATTTCGTTCCTGGAAATCTTGATATATTAAATAAAAAGATACTTTGACCATATAACTTACGTATTTTAAAGACATTTGCACGGGAAGTTTTTGATAAGTCAATGCTAATAATTTAATCTTATTTTATTTAAGAATTTAGGCTGGTAAAGACAGATATTTTCGTACCACCTTGAACAGTGATTTTATTTTCATGTTGTTGTTTTCTTTTTTTTGGGGGGGGGGGAGGTACGTCTCAGTGGTCGCTAAAACGAACGTACTACCTTTAAAACTTCGTTAATACGAACCGCCATGAAGAGTTGACCACTTGATTCTCACGATCATCAGTTTTGCCTTGGTAAGGACTTCTTACGGGAAGAATGCGGTAGCGTTATTTATTGTTTTTGTTGTTATTTTTGAACGTTAACAATTTCTTACTGAAATCAGTACTATACACCGAACTATTCAATACTATAAACCGACGAATTCCAAATTGTTTATTTAAATTGTTTTGCATGGACACAAATGCAATTAATCCATTGGCTACAATGATTATTATATGGTACGAAATGGAGGAATGCATATTGGCAGGGGAAACGGGTGTCCCCCCAGAGAACCTGCTGCGAACCCGCTTTGTCCACCGCGCATTCTACTTAAAACCATCATGCCATCATTAACCATCATTCCGCTATGGATTTAAGGATCACAAAGCTAGTTGCAAAGAAACTAGTTGAGAAGGACCGCGGCTACATCGTGTTATCGATAGGTAGTGTCCGTGCCTGGTGAACTAGAAGGGGTGTGAGTGGTTGAGGGACACCCCCCTCCAAGACGAAGTTACAAATGACAAGGAACGAATGGAATGTCAGGTGGGGGCGAGGGGTAACATTTCGTGGAAGCTGGCTCTCTGAGGTGGAAAGAGAGTTTACTTTAATTTTAATGTTAGTGTAGTTCTGTAAGAAGCTTTGAACGTCCACGAGAAAAGGGTTTCAAATAACGACCCCAAATTTCTTGTCTGTGAGTGGTAATTAGGATGTAGTAGAATATCCTGTCTGTTCAGTTTTTAAAATGCTCTCACACTGTTTGTCTGCGATGCGTCCTGTAGACAGTATTTTCCTGGCTACTCCGCCCATTTGGTTTTGCCATTACCACTGCCCTAGCGATTGCCCTTGCGATTGCCCTTGCGATTGCCCTTGCGATTGCCCTTGCGATTGCCCTTGCGATTGCCACTTGCAGGCACTTCGCATACTCTAGGAAGGAATGGTTTCCCGGCGTGCCTTATTGCGACGCCAAGCCACGCTCCCGCGCGTCCGCCTCGGAGCCCTCTCCTGCGTTGGGCGACACGTTTCGCGCGGGCGATAGCGCTTGGCCGCGTGCTCGGCGCGCGGCGCGTGCGCCACCTGCCGCTGTCTGCCGGCGC